ATATTATCTGACACAGTTGTTTTCTTGACTTTGTTTTAGAATGAGTCCCTTTTGCATCATCTAATACGGTTCATATACTCATCAAAACCAATGATACAGTCCTCTGTCTGCATGTTCACTTGCTCCAAAAGCCATACCTGAATCTGAGATCTATTCTGCAAGTATTTGAAGATGAGGCTGATGGGCTGCACCATCACCTTCTGTACTTTTTAGCCCTGGCCACAGTACGCCATAGTGGAAGCTGACAAAGAGCACACTAACTTATGCTTTTTTTAAAAAAGTGTTAAAGCATTAAAAGCACATGGTTATAAGCCCTGGCTGGGTAGTCCAGTTGGTTAGAGCATCGTACAGATACATCAAGGTTGTAGGTTTGATCCCTGATCGGGGCACTTACAAGAATCAACCAAAGAATGCATAAATAAGTGGAACAACACATCAAGGTTTCCCTCTCTCTCTCTTTAAAAATTATCTTTAAATGACAAGGAGAAGTTTCTACGCTCCCTTTATTCCTGACTGCTGCCCACTGCCACATCTCGCCTCCATTTGCCTTCCTCAGAGGCAACCGCGCCTAGTTACGTTCCGTGTCAGCGTGTGCTGGACATGTCAAAAATGATCTCTATCCCATCCTCCCCTTTGAAAAATGCAAATGGAATACTTTAAAATACTATTCTGCAACTTGGATTTTTTTTCTATTTAATGGTATACCTTGGACATTTTTCAAACTAGTTTATTTAGGAGTATTTAAAAAAATTTTTAAGACACTTTTTTAAAAAATTTTATTTTAGCCCTGGCTGGCGTAGCTCAGTGGATTGAGCGTGGGCTGGGAACCAAAGTGTCCCAGGTTCGATTCCCAGCCAGGGTACATGCCTGGGTTGCAGGCCATAACCCCCAGCAACCGCACATTGATGTTCCTCTCTCTCTCTCTCTTTTTCCCTCCCTTCCCTCTCTAAAAATAAATAAATAAAATCTTTTTTAAAAGTTTACTTCTGATTCCTGCATTAAAAAAATTTATTTTTAATTACAGTTCACATTCAATACTATTTTGTATTAGTTCCAGGTGTATAGCAGAGTGGTTAGACAACCACATATATTACAAAGTGTTTCCCTCAATATTTCCAGTACCACCTGGCACCATACAGAGTTATTACAATATTATTGACTATATTCCCTATGCTGTACTTTAGAACTCCCTAATTTTTCAACTGTCTTATCTTCTTTTTTCATTGAAAAGTAAGTGCATAACAGAAAGGAACCGAGAAAGCTGGCTTTCCAAAAATATGAAATTATCACTGTGAAAGTCTGTATTTTTCCTCTGGAAGGGGCTTAGATACAGAGAACACAGTTCATTTTTCTTCTCTCTCACACACACAGAGTTAGTTATTCCAGCTGGTTTAAACAGTAACTTGGGTCCTTGACTAATTTATCAGGCCACGCAATGAAAAAGCCGGTACTTTTTAACCCCCAAAGCATAGAAATGAAGGAGAGATGGTCTTCTTCATTAAACAAAGTAGCCCCCCTCATTTAGAGCAATGTAATGGTCCCCTGAGGGACTTTCCCCCTTTCTGTTCCATATTTGTTTAATTTTATGTATGTCTCAGTGCTCCAAAGTGGTAATTACAATTTCCAGTTGTTCCTGATAAAGTTATAGGAGGAAGTAGCACATGTTTCCTGGCAGGCAAATCCATGAGAAATTGGCTGATGTTTGATCAAATGTAACAATTGGCTTCTGAGTGTGTTGGGACCTTAAGTACCCCCAACTGCTGACTTAAGAAATTAGCAGCCTTCTGGAAGGCAGAATATGTTTTTTTGTTTTTAAATCTCTCCTGTAGGAGATTTCTCATATGCAAACAAGACTGAAGAAAGTTCTTACAGACCACACACAAGGCTGTGGTCACGTGTGACAGGAGATGATGTCAAAAGTCAGATTGCACCAGGGGATACTAGAGTTTGATCAGAACCCCAAATCTCAGAGACAAATGATAAACTTGACATTGAAGGCCAAACCGATCATCAAAGTTGAGACATTTGCCATCATTGTTTGTGTAGGCTTAACTACGTGGACTCATTTTCTCAAATTCTTTGATTGCAGGGCTGGAAAAACCCTAGTGATCATATCTTTTAATAAATAAGCAAACTGAGACTGAGAGATTTCGTGGCTTGGCTGAGCTACACAGAATTGGCTAGAACCTAACACCCTAGTGAGTATACTTCAATTAGTATAAGTATACCACACATGTAAAAGAAGATGTAAAATATGTATGATGGTTTTCTCGTTTTAAAAAAAAACAGAACAGCATCATAAACTTTGCACTATAACCTGGGTGACACCATTCAGGGGCAGGGTGGCCTTGAATTTGGAAGCTGGAAGGGAGGGATGAAGATAGGGAGGCCAGCCAGGGAGAAGCTTCAGGAACACCTGACAGGCCAGCCAGCTGAGGCAGTCGACTGGGGACATAATATCTGCCGAGGCCAGAACATTCTCCATAGCATAGAAAGTCCCATGAGAGGGAAGTCCCATCCTCTTTCACTCATTCTGCTCAGCCAGGCCAGGGCTCTACCTACCCCAAAGTCAAGCAGGTATCTAGAGCAAGAGGGAGAGAACAGTGTACAACTAGGTCAGAGGGATTCCAGGAAATTTTTCCTTCAGGTTTTTGTCTGTTAGGACTCTGCTTGTTAACTCTGCGTTTACAGGTAACCAACCCCCCACAATGCCATTAGTTAAGGGTTGATTGCTCTTTACTGCTAAACTGCTGTCAGGCAAATGTTTGCAATTCATTTCACGGGAAATAGTAGTGCTTACCTCAGACACACATTAGAATTCTCTGGGGAGCTTTGAAAAAAAACACACCAAAAACTGATGCCAGAGCCCACCACAATTAAATTCTGGTGTATGTAGTCTGAGATTCAAACATGGGTAGGTTTGAAAAACTCCCCAGCCCCAAGTGATTCTAACAGGTAGCCAGGGTCGGAACCACTATAGGTTTAAAACATCAGGCAAAGTTTCCGTCAACTAAGCAACTGCTTTAAAAGTTACAATAGCATTGTTTTCTTCACATCTGGCAATGTGATTCACTAAAAAATAATGAAGTCATTTGTAGAACATTCTGTCTTCATAGGGCTTTCTCATTCTGTATTCATTTATTTCTGCTGAGGAAAGTCAACGTATGACTGAATTCAACCATAGATCTGAAACTGATGGTTCCACTGAAACTTCTTACCCCCTCATTTCTATTATTTTCTGTGTCTAAATCACATCACAATGATTTGATATGGTAATTATTCCCCCAGACTTTTATGGTGAGGCGTCTGGGCGGCATGGAAGGCATGGTACTTATCAGAGATTGCAGGACATTTTGTCATCAGGGGACTTTCTGTGCTATGCAAATTCAGCAAAGAAATCAGTGTGGGCTGGAATAATTAGTAATGTGGAACTCCTTCCTGTGTCTGGGTCCTTTCACTTTGATCAAAGCAGAGGTAAAAAGCATTACCTTGCTTTTCTGGTCTCCTACTTTGTCTTTTTTTCTTCTCTTCTAAAGCAATGTTTTTTAAAAAATTTATTTTAGAAAGAGAGAGAGACAGAGAGAGACCGAGACACACACACACACACAGGATCAGTTATGTCCACCCAGTTTTCAGATTTTCAGCCGGGGTGCTGCCAGAATTTTTAAAACATACAATAGGTGACTATTTTAGTCCAGGGCACTGAACTCTTTTCCCTTAGATTGTCAAATTAAAAAAAGACAACAGCCAACACAATAGCCATCTGATGTGAATGAACCAAAATGACACCTATTTTTGGTCAGATTGGCAAAAACTACATTTTTTGGTGAGCCACAGAGTTTTAGTAATTAGTTTGTGTGCCATGAGATGAAAAAGGGTGAAAATCGCTGCTCTAAGTCACTAGAAAAGGCAGGAGAGAGGAGTAGAGAGGCTCACTGATTTACGAAAAGGGCAGTGTGTTGAAAGGTCATTTAATTCAACCACCACCTGAGACCAGAAGCTCTTCCTGAAATGATCCAGGGGGATTACACCTGGAACCGGGCCTGGCACTGGGGCCCGACTAGCACAATTCTGTTCACGAAGCCGGCTGGCCTGAAACAGACAGCTCAAGGATACTCGGGGCTTCCTCCTTCCATAAAAGGTTCTCCAGCTATCTCGCCCTTGTCAGACCACATCCATCCTCTTCATTAATTGACTTATTTTATGAAGTCTTCTCAGATCCATCCTGCTCAATTTGGGACACACTAGCTTCTGAACTTTGCTCCTTCCCCCGGCCACTTAGAGCCCTGCGCTACTAATAGTGGTGTATTTTCTATTGTTACACGCTCCTCGTTGACGTGCACTTATTGAATGCCTGCTGTTGTCGACAGCCCCAAGGTTCTAAGAGGAAATGCCCAAATAAGACAGCCCAGCTCCAGCACAGAGCCTGGCTGGACAGTCCCTGACCCCAGCCCCACCCCAGCCAGCCCCATGGCTGGCTGGCCGGGTTGTGCGGGCAGCTGGTGCCTCTGGGAAGGAGCCGGTTTCGAGTTGGATTTAGGAAGTCGGCCTGGCTTTTCTCAGGGCCGGTGAAAGGCACGAATAACCTGCTGTCATGGGAAGGGAGGCCCATGAGTGGGCTTCCGTTCCAAAGGCCACAAGGAAGGAGGACGGCCAGCCTGACTCAGCCGGGACCGGGTTCTGGCCGCGGTGCCACAAGCGGGCAGGCCGGCCGGCCGGCCGAACGAGCGGGGGAGAGGGAGGCTGCGGAGGCTGATGAGGGAGGAAGAGGAGCCTGGGGGCGGTTGCTGGGGGGATAAACTCGGGGGAAGCGGGAGGAGCGCAGGTGGCCGGAAAGGGTAGACGCCAGGAGACGGGGAAAAGAGGCGCGGAGCGGCCGAAGCCCGGCACTGGGAGGAGCCTGGCAGGAGCCGGGGGCGGGGCCAGGCGAAGGTTGGAGCCGGGGGAGGAGCCGGGGGAGGAGCCGGGCGGAGCCCGACGAGGGGAGGAGCCGGGGGGGAGAGGCCTCTGGAGCCACCGCCGCTGCCAGTCGCCGCCGGCCACCGCCTCCGGGGCGCGTTCTCTCGGGGGTCCCGCCGCCTGGGCGCTCCCTCAGCCGCCGCTGCCGGGGGCGCGGGCTCTGGCGGCCCCGGCGGACGAAGACGCTCCGCGCCCTCCCCGTGCTCCCTGCGGGCCGCCGCCGCCCGGGCCCGGGGGCCGCCGCCTCCCTCAGCTCCCCGGGCCGGCATGGAGCTCTTCCAAGCCAAGGACCACTACATCCTGCAGCAGGGCGAACGCGCGCTGTGGTGCAGCCGCCACGATGGCGGCCTCCAGCTCCGACCCGGTGAGGCCGGCGGCGCGGGGTCACCCTGGGCCTGGCGCGGCGGGGCGGGGCGGGGGGCGAGGAGGGGGCGCGGCCGGGCCCCTCGGCCCGCGACCGCGGAGGGCGCCGCCTGCGGCCCTGGCGGGCGCGGCGGGCGCGAACGAGGGCGCGCGAGCTGTCATAATTTCCCGACGGAGGGAGCGATCGCCTGGTCCCTGCCCCTCCGCGGGGACAAAGGGCCGGCGACCCTCGTCCCTCGGAGATGCCTCCGCGTCGAGCGCGGCCGGGCATCCCCCGGAGGGCGGGCGCGAGCTGCCAGCAGTCGGGGTCCCGCCGGCTCCCGCCGGAAAGTTCGAGCGAGGCACCCCTGGCCTTAGAGGCCCCTTCCACTCCGAGCGGCCTCTGGCGCGTCCTTCGCCACAAGTTCTGGGTTCGAATCCGGTCCCCGGGCCACAGGCGACCCCAGTTCAGTGAAGCGTGCTGTGGGAGCCTCACTCTGCTGACACCTGTTTCTAGTCCTTCTTTAAAGTCGTGGTTCATTCTGGTTACCCCACAGGCGTCCGATTTTAAAGCCCCTTTCCACTGATTTTAGTATCACAGTGAAACTGCACTGTAATGTCCAACTTTTAATATTTTTGTGTGATTCAATATGGGGCGACGCGGAATGGGTCGTGGGTGCGTGTTCGGGTCAGGGAAGCTGTCCTGAGATGCCGAAGTCGGCGACGACCCGTTCGCCGTGGGAAAACCGGTTCCCAGTGGCGAGTTACACCGCAGCCGGGCCTCGTGGCTTCCGACAGGCCGGGGGCGCTGGTAGCACCTCCGCCTCCGGGGTCGTCCGTCCTCTTCCTCGCCTCCGTAGACATCTTTCCGGGTAGACGCGAGAGAAGAGAGCTCGTGGAAGAAGCCGAGCATTTCAAACGTGCTCACGGGCGATCGCGGCAAGGGAGTTGCGTGGTAGCGCTTGAAAAGTATAACAGGTCCAAAGGAGCTTTTCCTGTCGCCGCAGTCGCCTTCGTGGGATGGTTTCCGGGGATCCGGGCCTTCGCGCATCCCACTGCCAGCCCCCGGGATAGCCTTCCGGGGCAGGTGTGGCTGGTGGGGTCGCCGAGGTCACCGGGAGGGCACCGCCGCCCGGGAGGGCCTGCGGGCCTGCTCGCGGGTGTGCCGGGAAGGAGAGCGTGTGTTTTCCCTAGACACCCGGGGTATTTTCCCGCCGGTATGCACCGTGTCCTCTCTTCGGGCTGGAGGAGAAACTACTGCCCCCAGATACGGTTCGCGATGGTCTTGGGGCACAAGTTGTTGTCGGCTGGCTGATTTTGGCCAGCCTCCAGCTACTCTCTTCTCTCTGTTTCTCCTGAGTGGACCATTGTGCCTGGCTCGCCCCCGGCCCCGACCCCCACCCTCACCCCCACCCCAGAGTGGGGGTGAGGCTCCGAGTTCAGCTTGCGGAGAGGGCGCTGGCACCCTCGCCCAGGCGGTCGAAGAGCCGACTCTGTAGGCTGTTTGCAGCTGCGGGAGCGTGCGATCCTCTCCCGCTCCTGGGACAGGACGCGGTTCTGTGCCTCCTTTCCTCGGCTGTGAAGTGACGGCTGGCTCCTCAGTCCTGGTCCCTAAGGAAGGTGCTGTTTAGCACAATGCCAGCTTGTCCAGTGTCCGTACGTCTTGGAGGGCAGGAGTCGACGTGGACGTGTTACGTGAGAAACACTCAGAAAACCTCACGGCAGTCGCCGGTGAGTCTGGCGGCGGTGAGCTGGGCGGCGGCGCAGGAACAGGGTGGGCCGCGTTGTCTCCCTTCGTAGGGCCACTCGCTCCTTTCTCGGAGCCCCGAGGTCGACAGGCGTGAGCCGCGCTGGCGGAGGACGCGGCACAAGGTAGCGTCACAGGAGTCCTCTGAACGGCAGGGGTCTTGAGTGAATCCGTTGTCGTTCGGTTTGGTTTGTTCAGTTCTTGTCCGCGGGAGGCCCTCCTGCCCTGACGGTCGCTTGCGGGTCAGCCGGACCCCCTGACGTGAAGTCCTCCGCTCTCCCAGGACGCTGGCCAGCGTCTTAGCTGGCTGGGGGCGGGCACGCGGCCCGTGCCCCTAAGCCGCAGGAGCTCAGATAAGACTCAGATGTGAGGCGTTTGGGCAGCAGGAATATCCACCGGGTAACCTGGGCCTAGATCTGGGATTACGCCATGTGGTTTGAGTTACTGTTTATGCATCCAAAGTCCACACCCGAAGGCAAATTAAAAACTTTTTTTTCTACGTAAAGTGTCGGTAGCCTGTGCAGTTACGTTTAGCTCACCTCTTAGGATGTAGCCAACCACAGACTGAGGTAGACTGAAGATCTAGAGGAAGGAAGAGGCCATCATATTTCAGAAGTCACAGCCTGTTTTGGTCTTCAGGTGTTCAAGTAGAGCCAGTGAGTAAAGAAGAACCCCATGCACTTGACCAAATAGTTCCTCCTCTCCGGACTTAAGTCCTTTTTAGAGACTGGCTGTTAATGACGGTACTTTAATTGGATAAGTGCTTTTCAGATCTTTTTCTATAGAATCACTTAAAATTCTTTTTATTTTATCGGGATCTCTTCCCTCTGCTTTTATGGCCAGTTTTGCTCCTGTTTCTAATGACAGCATTTAAACTCTTTCATTATTTCCAATTGGCTATTCAACTGAATAGATTACTCACTGAGTTCTTTCTATCTTTTCCAAAGGGCCGTATTCTAAGACCAAAAAAGCCTGTGGGCATTGTGTGTGTGTGTGTGTGTGTGTGTGTGTGTGTGTGTGTGTGTGTATGTTTATGGTTATTGAACAGTCTGAATCAGGCCTTTGTTTTTTCTTAGAGACGTCAGAAGAATCAGCATTGGTATCAAAGTTAAAATGACCATTTCCTTATCCTGGAATGCCTGTTAGTCTCAGCCTCTTTTCCTCCTAGTTTATTCTCCCGGGTGGTGACAGACCCATCTCGGCTGTCACGGGCCCCTGTGCTCACCCTAGCCCGCATTCCTGGGGCAGGGCTCTGGTCCCAGTAAGCGCACTGCTGTGTATCCAGGCGCTTTATGCACCTAGTGCACACTTTGATGATAGCCCTTACTGAGCCGTGTAATAATAGTTTCCATACTTTTCCCTCAGGGGGCAGTGCATTTCCCAAGGGAAGGAGCGCACTTGACTCATCTTGGTATCTCAGGGCTCTGGAGTGCTTAGGACACAGAAGGCATTTTTGGCTGAGTTGAGCTGAATTAAATTTAAGTCCAAGTTTTCTCTCAGTAATGTCATTGCCATAAAAATAGGATGTTTCTTGTGTTGTTGATCACTCATTTTAGGCCCTGTTTTGAATAGCTTCTAACTGGGGTGGAAAATCTTTGTCCACCTGGGTGAGGAAAGAAATGAGAGAAAAGGTGCATTTCCCCTTGTGTGTGTTTTTCCTATCTGATTTAATATCACCTTTAAAAAAAAAATCTTTGACTCTGACTGTGTGGGGCTCAGTTGGTTGAGTGTCCTCCTGTAAAGCGAGAGGTCACCGCTGGTTTGATCCTCCGTCAGGGGACGTGCCTGGGTTGTGGATTTGGTTCCCAGTCGGGTGTGCACAGGAGGCAGCCAATTGATGTTTCTGTCTCTCTCTCTCCCCCTCCCTTCCTCTTTCTCTACAATCAATTAAAAAAAAATTAAAGTCTTTGTATTCCTTATCTTTAACATGGTTTACTTTTTCCTATTTTTTTCTTCTAGTTAAACAGCTGAGAGTATTGTTATTTCTTTTGACCTTTTTATTTTTTTAAGCGTAGTGAGTCGTCCGTAGCATTGCTTTTTGGTGGTTGCTTATGTCTATTGCGAGGTGGCCACTAGAGAAAAACATCTAGGTTGTTTTATTTTGTACCAGGGAAAGTGATAAAACACTGTGTAAACATTCAATAATATCCTGAGAGTGCAGTTTCACTATCTGAGAGTAAGGATTGTACAGTGACTTAAAGACTTTACAAGGAGTATAATAAAGTTTTCCGTTGGGAAAGGATAATATGGTCTTATCTCTTCAGTTTTGAAACTGCTTCTATTGTCCTGTGTCTTTGTCTGATATGATTGTGTTATGCAATTTACCAAAAAGATGGTGACGCGTCTGGCACGCGCGTACCATTCATAAACCTATACACTGTGGAGAGAGAGAGAGAGAGACTCTGAATGATGAATACTGGTGAATGTTTTTTGGAGGAGATACCAGCTATTAATTAGAATGTACAGAAACATAAAAAAGTATTTCTATTCTTATTTTTTGAGAATGAAATTATTTTTAGTGTGTCGTATGAAGTTAACTTTTTTTGAATGAGAAATTATAGTTGTGGAATTGAAATCCACATAGAAGCTTTTTATCTCTTTTCAGGATCATATTTTATGAAACTATATTCAGTGTATTTAGAGTTTTGCATCATTTGGTATTTACTTTGACAAGAAAGCTTTTGAACTTTAGAAAAACCATGTTTGCTAAAGAATCATAAATTACCACGACAAAATATAATAGCACATTTTAATTTAAAAATTAATTATTAAACATATTGTAAAAATCTTTGTTCTTGTTATCGAATAACCAGCTTTTTTTCTAGTGGTTTTACCCTTCAGTTTCTTTAAAGTAGCTCAGCAGTTTTGATACCCAGAACTACTTTTTACCCCACATTTTGTATTTCTAATAAGCTGTTGGTTGATCATGTCTGTATGTTTTTTTTTATGAACACTTATTTTTAAGCATTTACATTCCCTCATCTTTCCAAAGTTTTTTCTTCCTTCTTGGGCTAGAAAGAAAGACAGACAGAGTCTTTCTAAGAAGGCAGATGACAGTTTTTGGATTCAGATTTTGTAGACAAAGGGAAGTCTTTGAACATATTTTGTTGTCGACATTGCTAAAGGAGATTCATAGTAGTTAATAATAACTTTTCTTTATTGAGCATTTTTCTGAACCAGACACTGTATGTATCCCCACAGACCTCAGAAGGGTTTATTATTATCCTTGTTTTGTAGGTGAGGAGACTGAGGCACAGAGAGGTAATAGTTCAAGT